GGAAAATGATCCCAGGCGGACAGACAAAGCTATAAGAAGGGGTGAAAGGCAGGAAAGCAGTACAGATGTGGATAGATCTAAATGAACACTGACGTTATAGAACTACGATAATAACATCTTACAGAGCTGTAAAAATAGAATAAAAATATATAACAACAGCAGCATATAAATTGGGGGGTGCTGAGTGGTCCTGTATTATCTGGGAAGGGGGTAAATGTCTGAAAAACATTAGATTTTCCTCAGTCTAGGATGCATGTTGTAATTTCCCAGGGCACTATTAACAGAATAGAAAAAAAGAATTAAAAACTTTTAAACCAGAAAAAGATAAACATTGAACTATATAAAACAATCAATCCAAAAGAAAGAGAGAAAAATAAAATAAAATAGAAAGCAAACCAGAGTAGCTTAAATACAAACACATCAGTAATTACAGTAAATATACATGGGCTAAATGCAATAGCTAAAAGGCAAAGAAACTAGATTAAGAAAAAATCAACTATGCTGTTTACAACAAACACCTCTGACACAGAAAGGCTGAAAGTAAAAGGACTGTAAAGGTTATACCATGTAAATACCAACCAAAAGTGAGATAAAGTAGCTGTATTAGTAACAGGCAAAAAGCATTTTGAGAGATACAGAGGGTCACTTTACAGTGACAACAGGGATATTTTTCAAGACCTATCATACACCTCAGTCTAATAATGTTGTCTCAAAATATATAAAGAAAAATGTTATATAACTGAAAGGAGAAATTTAGAGAAATCTATAATCGTAGGCTGGTATTTTAAAACATTTCTCTCCACAACCGATAAACCAAAGTAGACAAAAATATCACTAAAAATGTAAAAATTTTACAGACTTGACCTAAAAAAGCTGTACTCCACTACTAGAGAATAGATGTGATTTCCAAGCACACACACAACAGTTGCAGAAACTGACCATACACTGGGTCATCAAGCAAGTCTTAATAAATTTCACAGGACAAAGAACATCAATATGTGCTCTTTGATCATAATGAATTTATGTTAGAAATCAATCTCCAAAAGATAATTCTTATTTGTTCAGAATTTAAGAAATGCATTTCTAAATAATCCATGGGTCAAAAAAAAAAAAACATAATAGAAATTAGAAAACACTTGAAATGCATGATAACCAAAATAATACATACTAAAATCCACGCAAAGAAGCTATAAAAATACACAGAGAGGAATAAAAGCTGAAAAGTAATAATCCTAAATAAATGGACAGATACACCATGTTAATGGGTTAGAAGACTCAGATGTCAATTCTCATTACACTGATTTTAGCCAAAGCAATCTCAATGAGTAATTCAACATGTGGGGATTCTACACTGTTTTTGTTGGTGGTGATTTCATGTGTGTACATGTGTGTAAGCACATGTGTGCACAAAAACACACAAGTGTGAATGTATAGAATGTGACTAGCTGGTTTAAAATTTTTTATGGGCAAATACAAATGACCAAAAATAGCCATAATACTCTTAAAAAAGAAGAAACAAGTTGGAAGGACTCACTCGGCATATCAAGATACTTTAGAAAGTGACAGTACTTAACACCATAGTACTGGTACAGGGATAGAACACAGAAATCAATGGAAAGGAAAAGAGAGTCCAGACTCACACATATACGGACACCTGACTTACGATACAACTGGCATTACAGTAGACAATGTGTGTTCTTTTCAATAACTGGGATGGGATAATTGCGTGTCCTTATGGAAAAACATAGAAATAGACCCCTAACTCACACCATACAAAAAAATCAACTCCAAGTGAATTACAGACCTAAATATAAAAGGTATCAATGCTCTGTGGTGACCTAAATGGGAAAGAAATCCAAAAAAGAGGGGATATATGTATACGTATAGCTGATTCACTTTGCGGTACAGTAGAAACTAACACAACATTGTAAAGCAACTATACTCCAATAAAATTTTAAAAAATAAATAAAAAGATAAAAATATGAAGTATTCAGAAGATAATATAGATTATCATCATGACCTGAGGGTATGAAAATATTTCTTTAACAAGATACCTAAAAATCTAACCATAAAGAAAAAGTGATAAATTTGACTAAAAGTTAAGAACTTCTGTTAATTAAAAAAAAAAAAAAGCTATAAAGGGAATGACAAGATAAGTCATAGAACAAGGGAAAGGAAATATTAGCAACACATGTAGCTGACAAAGAACTTCTATCTAGAATATATAAAGATCTATTACAAACAAATTATAAAAAGATAACCCAATGAAAAACTGGGCAAAAGGTTTTGATCAAGCACATTTTACACACACACACACACACACACAATCCAAATGGTAAATAAACATTTTAGAAGATGCTCAGCCTCACCAGTCATGCAGGCAACAGAGCAAATGGGATCTTAACTATAGCGGGAGCGTGAGGGAGGGAGGAGAGGAGGTGGTATACAAGAGCTAAATCCTAGTGTCATAACAAAGTAAACAGGTAACATCAAGATGTGATATATCAAGAAACAGCAGCGAAGCATATTACTTAGTTACAGAAAAGCAACTACTAGAAGAAAGAGCTGAGAGAGTGAATTGCAAAGTGTGGAGGGTGGAGCCAGAGAACTCACTCCCCCATTCTACACCTTCTGGCATTAAAAAAATATATACAGATTTATTATTTTGATGAATAAAAAATATAGGAAAGAAAAAAAACATATGAATGGGGGTGGGGGAGTGAGTGAGAGGTAAGGAGGCAAGGTCAGGGAAATTAAATAATCGTTGGGAAAACCTGCCTGAGAGCAGGAGCTGAGAAACAGTGTGGAGGAGGAACGTGGGGCGGATTTACTCTGTGATCTGTATTATGGCCCTATTTGCTCTGGCTACTAGGGAGGCCAGGTTTTAATTTATGGCTCACATCTAAAAATTGAATCCCGAGGCTATAATACTTCTTCATTTCTGACCATTCAGCCATCATTCTCCCTTTGCTCTCATATTTTGGTAGGTGTCTCATATCTTGTTAAGTGTATTTTGTACGTCTTGAAAATCTAGTAGGTTTATAAACAAAAGTCCAAGGAGTTACTAGATGTACATAACACGAAACATGTAACATTTTGCCTCTTCTTGACAATTTAAAGGAGATTCTGGAAGCTTGCAATGCTTCATTAATTATCGTTTAAAAAAACATTTACCTATGTAGATTGTCCATCTATATTTTTTCGATTTATAATTCTGAGTAATTTCTCCACTACGTGAATATGTTACTGTGCTTTCTCTGTACGTGTTCTGTTCCCTCCCAGTGACTTACAAGGAGGCAGTTTAGGAAAGCAGCTAAGAATCAGGTACACACCAAGTTTAAATTCTGGGCCTGACCTTCAGGACAAGTCACTAAGGCTCTCTCACTTTATCTTCTCACTTACAAATAGGGCGGATAAGGATAACAGTATCTGCTTCACAGTCTTGTCACATGTGTAAATCCACAGTAAGGACTCAATAAATGTTGCCTGAAAGAAGTGAATGAATGAATGAATGAACATCCGGCAAGGAGGATGCCAACATAAAAGACTCTGTAAGCATGAGCCACATGCAGCGTATCTGCAGAACTATGATGTGCGGTGTGCAACAGCCTTTTAATTTTTTGGTCTTTGCTAAAGGCCAAAGATTAGCAATAAAAACCTTTCTCACTAGAAGGTCAATTCAGGGAATACAAAAGTAAAACTGGGTGAATTTCTTTGTTCGCAATAAATCATCTTTTTCATCAGGAAATGCAACACCTGCAGTTACACCTGAATGTTCTTTTACTGCTTTCCTGTGACAGAAAGCTTTCTTCTTTTTCCTTTCCTTTTTTGGGGCTAAAATATTTCAAAACTCTCTAATGAGCACAGCCTGTGGTGCCTGATCATAATGCAATGCAGTGAACCGACTCTGTTCTACCTTGAACAAAAAAGTCTTCTGAGGCTGTTTATTTGTCTTTCCCTGACTGAGCTTATAAGCTATCATGCTCTTTAAAATAGGAGATTTTCTTCTATTGCTAATCAGACAAATGACAGTATCTTTAGCACAAATAATAAGCATTTCTCAATCTACTTACTTTGAAACACATGATTTTCATCAGCTCCTTTTCTCTTCTTGACAGAAACCACAGTGAGCATTTTAAAAATAGAATTCCCCTCCTCCTCGGTCTCCCACAGGGTTACAGTCTCAAAGTCCTTGCAATGGCCTTATTCACCCCTGCCCCCCACCTGCAACAGGCACAAGGCCACACAGTAGCCAGGGCAAGGGACTGGGCTGAGTTGGATTCTCCCCAGGGAAGGTCTTGAAGTTAATCAGATTATCTCTCAAACTTAGCAGGCTGTACCCAGTCCCTGGCTCCTCATCACTGTACTAGATCAGTTTCTGACAGGGCAAGACCCTGGCTGGTGGAGTCGGGGGGAAGAAGCAAGTTCCCTGCAGAACACCTTCCAGAAGGGTGGTCAAACCAGGTAAGGGCAAGAGCCAGAGCCCCCAGCATCACTAACAGAGGGTCGCAAGACCGTACCCAACCAAAACCAGAATCCGGAGCCACTGAAACGTTTCTCCCCATTCCTGAGGTCTCAGAGGCCTCCAAACTAGTGTTAAAATGGTTTTTCCAGAGGACTGGATACCTCGAATCTCCACAGAAAAAAATGTAAGCTTCTTCACATTTACTCCAGGGACACATAGTGTTTGGAAAGGTGACATCAGTGACATGCAGCGAACGTAGGGGCCATGGAAGAGCTTTTGCCTCAGAGTCTTAAGGCACTCTGTAGTAGAAGGCTGGTTTAGAATGTCCTAGTCACCTCGAAAACTTGAGCTCACTACGCTGCACAGACCGCAGGAGTGACATTCCAGCCCCGAACCTTGAGAAAGTGGCTTAGTTCTTAGGAACGAGCCACCAAGAAAGCCAGCCAGCTGCCTCCTGAATGAATACCAGGCAAGGGCCTTGTTCCACTAAGGCCCCCGAAGGTGAACTAACGCTTGTAAGTCACATCAAGGATACAGGGGTTTTTGTCATCGATGCTACAGCTGTCCAGGATCAGGGCAATGCCATCCAGCTCGTTCACCTACGAAGAACAGAGAAGACAAATTGACACGCTGAAACAGCCTGGGAAGGGCTGGAGATTATAGGTGATCTGTTGCTCCTTTTTTATTTCCTTACTCCCTGCTATAAGAATACTGTTTGTGCAATTACCTGAAACACCTATATCAATCCAGAAATATTTAAAAACAGACATAAACAAAAAGTGATACTTTTTCTTTTCACCCTTCCTCAAAAATGTTGGGCAACTGGACAGCCATATAAAAAAGTATAATTGGGATGAATTGGGAGATTAGCTTTGACATAAATACACTACCATGTGTAAAACAGATAGCTGGTGGGAACCTGCAGTACAGCACAGGGAGCTCAGCTCCGTGCTCTGTGACGACCTAGAGGGGTAGGATGGGGGTGGGGTGGGAGGGAGGTCCAAGAGGGAGGGGATATGTGTATGCATATGGCTGAAAAAGTTAGATCAAAATAAAGAAAAAAAAAAGTATAATTAAACAACACTGCAAACCAACTATACTTCAATAAAATTTCTTTAAAACGTATAAAAGTTGATCTCTTCCTAACATTATTCACCAGGATAAACTACAAGTGAGTCTCAGTTTATTAGTAAGTGCATTCTTTTTCTAAGCCAGAAGCAGGGAAAACATTTCTAACTATAGCTCAAAATCCAGAAGCAACAGAGAAAGGTTTTAAAATTTGACTACATTTTTTAAAAAGGCAAACTGAAAGCTGTAAAAATTATCTGAAAGATGTCACAGGCAAAGGGTTAATATTTTAATATATACAGAGCTTGTAGAAACTGAGAAAAGACCAACAATCCAACAGAAAAATGGATAAAACACATGAACATAAATGGCACAGAAAAAAAGAAATGCGGGTGGACTGCAGAGATACCAGAATCTGCTCAACTGTGCTCCTAGTAAGATGCAGGCAAATTATGACACCATTTCTCAGCTGCCAGAAGCGCAAATCCTCACGTGTGACAACACACGCTGCTGCTAAGGTGACGGGAAACGGCACCCTCAGACACTGCTGGAGTGAATGCGAAGTGGCACGATCCCTATGGTAGGGAACTGGACAATACGTAGCAAAATCACCATGTGTTATTTACTCTTTGGCCCAGTAATCCCATTTCTAGGATCAAAAATACAGTGTCACATGGAATTATGTTTGTACAAGGTTATTTACTTCAGCACAGCTTATACTTTTATAAGATTTCTATTGAGGTATAATTCACATACCATAAAACTCACCCATTTATATACAATTCAGCGGATTTTAGCATATTCCCAAAGCTGTCTCACTATCACCACTATCTTAGAACATTTTCATTACCCCCAAGAGAGTTTTTAAACTGGGCTGACAGGGCAAGACCTTGCCTTGTCAAGAGAGTTTTAAAAGAGAGTTTTTAAACTCCATTCCTATCAGCAGTCACTCTTATTTCTTCCTCTCTCCAACCCTTAGCAACTACTAACCCACTTTCTGTATCTATGGGTTTGCCTATTCTGGGCCTTTCATACACATGGACTCATTCAGTATGCGACTGGCTTCTTTCACTTACCGTAATGCTTCCAAGGTTCATCTATGTTGAAGCATGTATCAGCATGCTGAATAATAATATTCTAATGTCTGCATATGTATTTCAGTTTCCATTCATCCACTGACACACATTTGAACTGTTTCAAACTTTTGGCTATTATGATAATGCTGTTACAATCTTTCATGTACCTATTTTTGAATGGATATGTGTATTCAATTCTCTGGCTATATACCGAGGAGTGGAATTGTTTAGTCATATGGTAACTCTATATTTAACATTTTGAGGAACTGCTTGACTGTTTTTCAAAGCGGCTGCACCATCTTACATTCCACCAGCAATGTATGAGGGTTCCAATTTCGTTACATCCTTGGTAACACTGTCTTTTATTTTAGCCACCCTAGTGGATGTGAAGTGGTACGTCACTGTGGTTTTGATTTGCATTGCTCTGAGGAGTAATGATGTTGAATGTAGCACAATTTATAAGAAAAATCCTGTAAACAACTCAAGCATCCATCGATATAGGCTCGTTGAATAAACCACGATCACTAACGTAATGCTATGGAGATATCAGGATAGAATGGTAAGTGAAAAAAGCAGAGTGCAGAACAGGATTGTATGTGAAGCTTTTGTGTAATAAAGGAGGAGAAACAGATGGTTTTTTATTTTAAAAAAATGAAGGGTTAAATAAAAAACTAATAATGGTTATTTACAGAGCAAAGCAGAGACTGAAGTGGACGAAACAGGAACAGAGGTGAGACCTCTGTGAATGTACCCGGTCGTACAATTTTGACTTTGGGATCCTGTATACGTTTTACGAAATTTTGGAAATTAAGTTTATAATACATGTAACTAGACTTACTGTGGTGATTATCTCACCATATATACAAATACTGAATCATTATGTCGTACACCTGAAATTAACATACTGTTATATGTCGATTACAGCTCAATTCTGAAGAAATGAATTTATAAAGTTATAAAAACAGAAAATGGAAACAAATTAATCCGACAACACGTGAAACAAAGACAATTACTTCACAGAACTGAAACAGTATTTTGATGGGACGTCCCCAGGGAGCTGTGTCCTGAGCTCAGATGGAACTGCAGTCCCACAGCTGCATGAGGTCGTCTCAGCACCATTAACACTGGGATTAGCATTCTGAACCCTTATTCCTAGATCTAGTTTAAAGAAAATGGGTAATTTATATCATTAGGAACCAAGATTCTTAGCATAAAAAAGAAGTACCAAATCAAAGTAGTTTACATTTAAATTAGAAATACTAGCATGAACTCATGATACATGTTTCTCTTTTCTTTCTAAAAAATGTTTACTTCCTAGCTGTTTACTGAAAAGGCACAGAAGCAAAGACAAGCCAGTAGCAATGAACATTCCCAACATGACTTAAGGATTCTAAACACCATGGTCCAACTGAAAGAAACCAGATCTCCAGTTGGCTGTGATACACAGACTTGCTGAAGGCAGGAAAGAAGAGAAGAAATCTAATTCCTATAAATTTCCCGAGGCACTGGAAGGTGGTTAATGAACTGCTATTTAACAGACATCCAGCATCTACCAGGCAATGACAGACACTTAAATGATTTCCCTTAATTCTGACAATGCCAGGGTAAGTATTACTGGTTCCATTTTACAGATAAAGAAACTGAGGCTCAAAAGTTAGGTACCCTCCCCATGGTCACTTAAACTAATAAGTGCTTTTCAAAGTGAGGTCTGGAGAGCACTGTCAGTCTGCAAGAAAGTGTGTGAAAGAGTGAGAAACTGTGCCATCAATTTAACATACTTACGCTACGTTTGCTGAATCTTATAATAAAATTTGGGCTTGAATTTTCTATGTCTTAAAATTGTTTTTTGTTTTCTAGTAATTCATTTATCTTACCTTTTATAAACATACTGGTCCAGGATGGTTTGGGGAAAAGATAGCTAGTTCTTCATCAGAGATAGTCTGAGAAGCTTTGGCATGGAGGGTTAGCCCACTACTGAGGGTTGGACCTCATGTTTTTGAGAGGCACAGAGGGAAACTTTATGGCCAAACTGGTAGTGGCCCCACCTGAGACTGTATCCAAAGCTTCTCCATGCAACCCTCACACCCCCACTTGTCCAATAATCAGCCCTGCACCCACCCGCAGGATGAGGGTGCTAACAACGAAGCCTGCAAATGGGAGAGGAGGGCTCCTACCACATGCACTTGTCTCAGGGTGAAGCGGAGAGACCCAGGACAGGAGCCATGCCTGCTGCCCGGCACAGAGCGCAAGAACAGCCACGGACTCTCACCAGCTCCTTGCGAACGTGTGATCTAGACCCTTCTGGAACGTGGGTGCATCTCCACGCCAGAGGAGCTGGGTGTTTGATGTCGCTAGGGGACCACATAGCATGGGGCTCCCAGGGAAGGCCTCCCTGCAGAGGTGATCTTTAGCTCACGGTGAGAAGAACGAACAGGAATTAAACACAGAAATAAAGGGGCTGTGGAGAACGCTCTGGGCAGGGGGAAGAGCACACGCAAGAGCTGGGGCATCAGAAGGAACATGTGGTGTTCCAGGAACCGGGAGGCGGCGGCGCAGGGATGAAGAGCGAGGGCTGCACAGCCAGCGCTGGGGGCAGAGTCTGGCCCTACAGCGCTTCTGAGCTGGTGGCTTTGGGCAAGTCATTTACCCTCTAAGACTTAGTTTTCCCCCCTGTCAAATGGGGATGATAGGACCTACTTCACAGGGTGACTGTGAGAATGGCACGGATTACCGTGCTGACTAGCACTCAGTGAAGACTCAATACAGGGCCACAGGGGTGACGGCGTAGTTGGCAATTTCGTGCTGTGAACTGAAAGAAGTTCAGTTGGCTGGGGCAAGGAGTTCAGGGCTGGCTCCCAAGAAAAGCACGAGGAAAACTGGAGGATAACTTCCACAAAGCCGAGTCACAATTCGACTGTGTATGAGGCAAAACTGTAAATTTATTTTCAAAAACCACTTTTTTTTTGTAAGTGAGAAAGTATTAAGGATCTCTTATTCAGTGCAAGAAAAACATCTTGTTTTCGGTGTGGGGAGTAGACTTCCCAGATATGTTAAATGGGTAAAGGAAATAAAATCACAGGCTAAAAACTGACATTTTAAAGCAGGCAGTAAGGGTGAATTAAAGAGATCTTGAAAATCACGGTTACACTAGAGCCATGTCTGAACTGAGGGGTCTGCTTTCCTAAGATAAATACTTCTCATTCACACCACTGCATTATGAAATGATATTAGATAATTTTTTATAGAAATTCATTAAATGTTGATAACATAAGTGAACTATTCTAGACAAGGACAGCAGTGGCATCATGACAAACACACAATATACACTGAAGAGTGAACACAGGTTACGGTCACTGGGAAAAGAATCCCAGGATGCAACACCTCCAGGAGGAGTGACTGATGCTCTGTGTCATCACCAAGCTCAAGTTTTACAAGTTCCTGCTGCCGCTGAGCTG